TGTCGCAGATCGCAGCCCCCCAGTGACGGCGAGGTCAGGTTCAGATCCCCCCGGTGCCTCAGTCCGCAACCCCCCAGGGACGGCGAGGTCTATTTCACATCCCCGCGGTGCCTCAGTCCGCTGGACCCACCAGCAGCCCTCGAACGTGGCGACAGTGTCGCAGATCGCAGCCCCCAAGGGACGGCGAGGTCTCGCTCAGATCCCCGCGGTGCCTCAGTCCGCAGGACCCACCAGCAGCCCTCGAAAGCGGCGACAGCGTCGCAGATCGCAGCCCCCCAAGACAGCGAGGTTTCGCTCAGATCCCCGCGGTGCCTCAGTCCGCTGGACCCACCAGCAGCCCTCGAAAGTGGCGACAGTGTCGCAGATCGCAGGACCCACCAGGAACGGCGAGGTCTACTTCAGATCCCCGCGGTGCCTCACTCCGCTGGACCCACCAGCAGCCTTCGAAAGTGGCGACAGCGTCGCAGATCGCAGCCCCCCAGGGACGGCGAGGTCTACCCCAGATCCCCGCGGTGCCTCACTCCGCTGGACCCACCAGCAGCCCTCGAAAGTGGCGACAGTGTCGCAGATCACAGCCCCCCAGGGACGGCGAGGTCTACCCCAGATCCCCGCGGTGCCTCACTCCGCTGGACCCACCAGCAGCCCTCGAAAGTGGCGACAGTTTCTCAGATCGCAGCCCCCATGGACGGCGAGGTCAGGCTCAGATCCCCGCGGTGCCTCACTCCGCTGGACCCACCAGCAGCCCTCGAAAGTTGCGACAGCGTCGCAGATCGCAGATCGCAGCCCCCCAAGGGACGGCGAGGTCTACCTCAGATCCCCGTGATGCCTCACTCCGCAGGACCCACCAGCAGCCCTCGAAAGTGGCGACAGTGTCGCAGATCGCAGCCCCCAGGGACGGCGAGGTCTCGCTCAGATCTCCACGGTGCCTCACTCCGCTGGACCCACCAGCAGCCCTCGAAAGTGGCGACAGTTTCTCAGATCGCAGCCCCCCAGGGACAGCGAGGTCTACCTCAGATCCCCGCGGCCCTCGAAAGTGGCGACAGCGTCGCAGATCGCAGCCCCCAAGGGACGGCGAGGTCCACCCCAGATCCTCGCAGTGCCTCACTCCGCTGGACCCACCAGCAGCCCTCGAAAGTGGCGACGGTGTCGCAGATCGCAGCCCCCAGGGACGGCGAGGTCTACCTCAACAGTTTCTCAGATCGCAGCCCCCCCAGGAACGGCGAGGTCAGGCTCAGATCCCCGCGGTGCCTCAGTCCGCTGGACCCACCAGCAGCCCTCGAAAGTGGCGACAGTGTCGCAGATCGCAGCCCCCCAGGAACGCGGCGAGGTCTCGCTCAGATCCCCGCGGTGCCCCAGTCCGCAGGACCCACCAACAGCTTTCGAAAGCGGCGACAGCGTCGCAGATCGCAGGCCCCCAGTGACGGCGAGGTCTACCTTACATCCCCGCGGTGCCTCACTCCGCTGGACCCACCAGCAGCCCTCGAAACTGGCGACAGTGTCGCGGATCGCAGCCCCCAGGGACGGCGAGGTCCCCCCATCGTCGGCGAAGAGCGGGCAGGAGGAGGCGGGAGGAAGAGGGACGCGACCACAGTGCTCCAGTCAAAACGATTGCCAACCGAGGAGGGGTGGGAAAACATATCCCGACAAAGCAACCTAACAGCGATGTGTATAAACATATCTGGAAGCATTCCCCTTAAGATTCAGGTGATAATCCAGTTGTAGAATTCAGCTGTTCTCGCAGTCGCAGTCGCATTCGCAATGACAGTCGCAGTGGCAACGGCCTTATGATCCAATGTAATCCGAAGGATTCCTGGGGATTCCTAAGGCATCCTTAGGCATCCTTAGGAATCCATAGGGATCCTTAGGAAACCTTAGGAATCCTTAGGAATCCTGATTCCTAGAGATTCCTAGGGACTCCTAAGGATTCCTGAGGAATCCTAAGGGTTCCTAAGGGCTAAGGATTCCTAAGGATGCTTAACCATGCCTACGGATTTCTAAGGATGCCTACAGATTCCTAAGGATTCCTAAGGATTCCTACGGATTCCTATGGATTCCTACGGATGCCTCAGCCTGCCTCAGTTTCAGCCTCAGCCTCAGCCTGCCTCGGCTTGCCTCAGCCTCAGCCTCAGCCTGCCTCGGCCTCAGCCTCAGCCTTCCTCAGCCTCAGCCTCAGCCTGCCTCGGCCTCAGCCTGCGTCAGCCTCAGCCTCAGCCTCAGCCTCAGCCTCAGCCTCAGCTGCCTGCCTCGGCCTCAGCCTCAGCCTGCCTCAGCCTCAGCCTGCAGCCTCAGCCTCAGCCTCAGCCTGCCTCAGCCAGCCTCAGCCTCAGCCTCAGCCTCAGCCTCAGCCTCAGCCTCAGCCTCTGCCTCAGCCTCCTCGGCCTCAGCCTCAGCCTGCCTTGTCTCAGCTTCGGCCTGCCTCGGCCTCAGCCTCAGCCCAGTCTCAGCCTCAGCAACCTGCCTCGGCCTCAGTCCCTGCCTCAGCAGCCTGCCTCAGCCTCAGCCTCAGCCTCAGCCTGCCTCAGTCAGCCTCAGCCTCAGCCTCAGCCTCAGCCTCAGCCTCAGCCTGCCTCGGCCCCAGCCTGCGTCAGCCTCAGCCTCAGCCTGCCGCAGCCTCAGCCTGCCTCAGCCTCAGCCTCAGCCTGCCTCGGCGTGCCTCAGCCTCAGCCTCAACCTGCCTCGGCCTCAGCCTGCCTCAGCTCGGGCATTCAAACTATGGCACAGGACTAGTGTTCTGGGAACACGAAGATGACGAAGTGGCCCACAGTTGGCTCTGGGCAATCAAAATATGGTACAGGAATGGTGTTCTGGGAACACGAAGAACACGAAGTGGCCTACAGTTGGCTCTGGGCATTCAAAATGTGGCCTGGGAATGGTGTTCTGGGAACTCGAAGAACACGAAGTGGCCTACAGTTGGCTCCGTGCATTCAAGATGTGGCCTGGGAAAGGTGTTCTGGGAACACGAAGAACACGAAGTGGCCTACAGTTGGCTCCGGGCATTCAAAAGGTAGGATGGGAGTGGTGTTCTGTTGGCTCCGGGCAGTCAGAATGCTGCTCCTGGCAATCAAAGTGGAGAGTCCCCGGTTTTCCCCGGCATCCCCCGGAGCCTGCCCAGAGCCCCCTGGGGAATCAGGATGCCCTCTTTGACCCCGCCAGAAACCTACCAGTCTTCGTTGTTAGGTAAGGATTGGCCAGAGTTGGCGCCGCACCGTCCGAGAGGCCTCCAAGACGGCCTCCAAGAGGCCTCCAAGACGCCGCCCCCAGCCCACAGCTCGGTGGACGAGGAGGTGTCGAGCGTCGGTCGGGCGCCGGATCCGGTCCAGAAGGTCGAAGGAGGCAGGGGTCAGAGGCGACGAGTGGGGCGACTAGCCCAGGGGAGAGCAATGCATTTATTCAGGGGCGCCGATGATCTATGTCTTCGACAAGTCTCCCGGGCGAACACGCATTCGCCCTTACCGTTGCCACCGAAGGATTATGTCGGGCGTGTCCCCCTACAGGGGGATTTTCGACGAAAAATGAAAAATGCCCCAAAAATGTTCCAAAAACGTCAAAAAATACTCAAAAAATAGACCCCGAACTATTTTCGGACTACTTTGGATTCTTTTTGGGGTATTTTTTTATTTGTCGTCGAAAATCCCCCTGTGGGGGGACAGGCCCGGCTTAACCGAAAGGAGGACTTGCACGAGCCAGCGCCGGAGGGCGGGCGGAGCTCGACGAGGAGGAGGACCCCACACCTCCGACGACAGTGTTCTCTTCGAGGCGCGAGCACCTGGGCCTCTCGACCCCTTTCCCCGCGGCCGGGTCCTGATGTCTCGACACGTTTGGAGGGTCGGGGGGAGGATCGAGGAGGAGGAGGAGGAGGAGGCTGGAAGGAGGAGGAGGAGGAGGAGGAGGAGGAGGAGGAGGCGGAGGAGGTATCAGCCACGCGCAGAGGGGGGGGGGGGAGGGGGGTTTTATGGGACATGTGAGGCGCCCTTCTAAGAAGCAGCCTGCTTCTAAGAAGCCCTCCCCCCTCCCCCCACCCCCTTGTGCGCGCCGCCAAGATATCTCGACACGTTTGGAGGGTCGGGGAGGGCCAGGAAGTGGCTCCTGGAAGCTGAAGGCGGCGGCAGCAACTGAGGTGCGCTGTGTCGGAGCCGCCAGGAGCCTGGGGAAAGGGAGAGGGATGGGGAAGCGGTAGAAGCAGTGAGAGGACCCTGGCCAAAGCCACGAGCCACCAGCCGCCAGATGTATGACTTAGACAGTTTTGCCTTCGTCTGATCTCCATTCCATTGCTCACGCTGCTGTGCATTTCATTCGTGACAGGCTCAATCGGCCAGCACTGTTCGTGTGCTAGGCTTAGCGAAAGAAATGAAAGAAAGGGACAGGTCGAGTAGGGGATCGACCACAGAATTGATCTACCCCACAATTGTTTTGTTCGGTGAATCGATGAGACATGCGTAGACGGTTCGTAGATCTACGAGCATTTTACGTATGACTCGACGAGGACATCAATTGTGGGGTACATCAATTCCGTAGCCGATCCCCTGCTCGAGCAGGAGGTGGGCGAAGGGGCGCTCGCATGCTGCGCTGCCGAAGCGGAGCTGGCGCGGGCTCCTGCCTGTCCGGGTGATCGGGCAGGTGGTTCATGGCCTCTCTTTTTTCTTCTCGTCTCTTCCTTCTCTTCCTCATTCCCCTCTTCCCCTTGGCTTTCCTTTTGCCTCCTCCACGTCCCCTGATCCTCGTGCTCCTGTTCCTCATGTTCCTTCTCCGTCTTCCTCCTTCGGCACCTTCCATGCCCTGCTCCTCCTCCTCTCCCTCTTCCTGCACTTTCCCCATACCATTCTCTCACGTATTCCTTCTCATTTCTCCCCCCCTCATCCTTCTCATTCTCCGCCGTGGCCCAAGAGGCTCCTGGACGAGACTAGCACCTTCGCAGGGGACCTCTCTTTTATCTTGTGTTACTCCTCCTGCTCATCTGTCCTCCGCTATCCTCCTCCTCCCCTTCCACCTCCCCATGCCAGGTGATCGGGCAAGTGGTGCATGATTTAATTGGGATCAAGGACGCCCCCATCGAGGAGCACATGATCGAGTGCGTCTGCGAGCTGCTGCAGGCGATCGTCCCAGTTGCCCGTTGTTTCTTTCATTGCGCCGGCACGCACTGTTGGTTCTGTTGCACGTCACGTGGCGACGGAGTGACGGAAGCAACTATTACTCGTCACGTGGCAACGCTTCGGGGCCGACGAGATACCTGTACATATATATACATATTTATATATATATATGTACAGATATGTGTATATATATATATATATGCATACATGCATTCCTTTCTGCTCGCCGCTTCGCCACGTGGCAGCGCCGGGGGGGGAGAACAGAAGACCATTCCACTGCGCTCGTCATGTGGCAGCGCCGTTGGATGGGAAGCATCTCATGCCACGCTGCCCGACGCGCGGCAGTGCGTGGTTGGCGAGACAACTAGCCTGCCGAAGGACCCGACCATGTGCAGCTACGAATCGCGAAGCCTATGCCCCCCTCCTCGTGGGCAGCGCGCCGTGGGAAGGACGGGGCACATGACATGCGGATGGGGGGCCACGAAACGCGTGAGGAGTGCGCCGAAATGTGGGCTGGGGGACTGCTACGGAGCCTTCGAGCCGCTGGTAGATATGCTGCTGGGGGACGCTCTCGCGGTCCGCACAGTTTTGACGGTAACAGCCACAAATCCACGAATACGGCCCGGCGGCCCACGAATGTCTCGTAGTGTAGTTGTCGGTCGACGGAAGCCGCAGGGTTTGGCCCAGGATGCCCCGAACATGGCCACGTGGCTCTAGGTTTTTCGCCTGCAGCCAGCAATGTGACATGCACGCGATGTGCAGCCAGTTCGCACGGGTGAAATAGGCCACCGCGGCGTCCTTGACAGCACTGTGACAGCATTGTGAAGTAGGCCACCGCGGCTTGAGGACGCCGCCAAAACCCGGTCTCCCCACCATCCTCTCCACGTCAATCAGAACGACCGCTCCATTGCCGAGCACATGATCGAACTGCAGGCTCCAGGCCGCCGAATTTCTCCCACAACGCCTGCGACCGGCGGGGCTCCATGCATCCTGAAGGCTTTGCGAACAGCCAGCTTTCGGAGCCTGGGTGTCGCTATCTTTTTCCAAGTGGCAACCAACTGCAGAAGCTTGAGCCAAACTGGCCACGGAAGTGGAGAATCGTATGTTTGCTCGCCACCAAGGCGTCGCCATTTGGCGAGCAAGAGTGGAATGGTATGCTGCCGCCCCCAGCACTGCCACGTGACGAGCAGAGTTGGCTGGTCGCATTTGGTGCCCCCCAGGCGCTGCAGCGTGGCGAGGACAGAGAGACGTCTGTCTGTTCGCCCCCCCAGGCGTATCCACGCTGAGAAGGAAGTCGAACCGCTGCTTTCCCCAACCATCCCGTGATGCTGGGTCCTCGTCTTAGGTCGGGCCTGTCCCCCTACAGGGGGATTTTCGAAGACAAATTAAACATACCCCAAACATACCCCCAAAAGGCTAAAAAGTATTAAAAACATAGTCCCCAGACTATTTTTGGACTATTTGTTGACTATTTGTGGTGGTATTTTTCCCGGAAAGGGCTTGGGCCCAGGGTTCTCTTTTTCTATGTAAACATATCCCCCCGTGCCCAACTTGAAGGAGGCCGGCGAATTTTTTCCTTGATAAATATCGAGGTCAAAGGAGGCCGGCGAATTAAAATTTGAGGATGTCTCGAACGAAACGCTTGATTTTCAGAATTTGTTGAGGATGTCTCGAGCGGAACGCTTGTTTTGTATTATATATTGTGCTCTCCTGGGGACCTCAATTCAGAGGATCTCTCAGGTGAAATGCTTGTTTTCGCGTGCCCAGGTTTTGAGGATGTTTCGAGCGAGACGCTTAGTTTCACGCCTCCAGGTTGCCCAGACCGGTGTCTAGCATGAGGATTTGTTGAGGATGTCTCGAACCAGAGGCTTGTTTTCACGTGTCCAAGTTGCCCAGGCGGATGTCTAGCATGAGGCGGTGTCGAGGAAGTCTCGATCGAGACGCTTGTTTGCGCGTGTCCAGGTTGTCCAGGCGGATGTCTAGCATGAGGATGTGCTGAGAACGTCTTGAGCGAAACTCGTGTTTTCACGTGTCCAGGTCGCCCAGGCACAGCACAGCCCTCGGCACGGTACATCAATATCGATACCCTTAGCATTGCAGCCTGGCACGTTGCCTGGCACGTTCCGCGGAGCGTCCCGTGGCGAGTCCCCCTGGCACGTCGCGCGGTGCACGTCCATTGGCTCGTTCCGTAGCGCGTCCCCTTGGCACGTCCCGCGGTGCGTGCCCATGGCACGTCCCTTGGCACGTCGCCTGGCGCGTCCCTTGGGACGTTCCGCGGCGCGTCCTCCTGGCATGTCCCCCTGTCCATTAGCTCTGGGGCAGCTACTATGTGCTGAGGCCGCTCGAGCTTAAGATCTAGGTCGGTTCGGTCAGGACTCGTGTGCAAAGGAGGACTCGATCCACAACGCTATAGAGCACAATCGCGGCATGGCACGTCGCAGTTCAGCACAGCGCAGCACAGCACAGCCCACGGCACGGTACATCAAGATCGATACACTCAGCATTGCAACTTCGGCACGTTCCGTGGCGCGTCCCGTGGCGAGTCCCCCTGGCACGTCGCGCGGCGCGTCTCCTGGCACGTCCATTGGCACGTCCATTGGCACGTTCCGTAGCGCGTCCCCTCGGCACGTCCCGCGGTGCGTCTTCGTGGCACGTCCCTTGGCACGTCGCCTGGCGCGTCCCTTGGGACGTTCCGCGGCGCGTCCTCCTGGCATGTTCCCCTGTCAGTTAGCTCCGAGGCAGCTACTATGTGCTGAGGCAGCTCGAGCTTAAGATCCAGATCAGTTCGGTCAGGATTCGGATGCAAAGGAGGACTCGATCCACAACGCTATAGAGCACAATCGCGGCATGGCACATCGCAGTTCAGCACAGCGCAGCACAGCACAGCTCTCGGCACGGTACATCAAAATCGATACATTAAGCATTGCATTTGCCCGTCGCCCAATCAGGTGTCTTTCAAACGTTGCCATGCCTTACATTTCTATATTCCTTTCCGGGTTCGTGGGTCGATCATGTTTGTTTTTCCCGGAAAGGGCGTGGGCCCAGGGTTCTCTTTTTCTATGTAAACATATCCCCCCGTGCCCAACTTGCAGGAGGCCGGCGGATTCTTTCCCTGATAAATATTGAGGTCGAAGGAGGCGGCGGATTAAAATTTGAGGATGTCTCAGGCGAAACGCTTGTTTTTGAAATCCCGATCGATAAATCACAGGGTGCGGGCCACCTCAGCACGACCACATCCCAGCACGACCACACCCCAGCACGACCACGCCCCAGCACGACCACGCCCCAGCACGCACGACCACACCCCAGCACGACCACACCCCAGCACGACCACACCCCAGCACGACCACACCCCAGCACGACCCGATCGATAAATCACAGGGTGCGGACCACCCCAGCACGACCACACCCCAGCACGACCCCACCCCAGCACGACCCCACCCCAGCACGACCACGCCCCAGCACGACCACACCCCAGCACGACCACACCCCAGCACGACCACACCCCAGCACGACCCCACCCCAGCACGACCCCACCCAAGCACGACCACACCCCAGCACGACCACACCCCAGCACGACCACACCCCAGCACGAGCACGACCAGCACGACGCACCCCAGCACGACCACCCAGCACGACCAGCACGACCCACCCCAGCCGCACGACTCACCACAGCACGACCACACCCCAGCACGACCACGCCCCAGCACGACCACGCCCCAGCACGACCACGCCCCAGCACGACCACCCCCCAGCACGACCACACCCCACCCACACCCCAGCACGACCACCCCATACCCAGCACGACCACACCCCAGCACGACCACACCCAGTCGCACCCCCGTGGAATGTTTCGTGGGGTGTCTGGTTGAGTGGTTGCCTGTTCGTGGGGTGTCTCGTGGAATGTTTCGTGAGGTGTCTCGTGGGTTGTTTCGTGAGGTGTCTCCTGGGATGTTTCGCGGGGTGTCTCGTGGGATGTTTCGTGAGGTGTCGCCCAGTTGGATATCGTGAAAACGTGACCATGCTGCACATGTCTATATCCCTTTCCGGGTTCGTGGGTCCATCATGTTCATCGAAAATCCCCTTGTAGGGGGACAGGCCCGACTTAATCCTCGTCTTGAAGAGACAGCGCCACATGTCTTCTTCCCTCCTTCCTGCTTGCTACCTCCCACCTCCCGTCCCTGCCTCTGCCCCTCGCATGCCCGTGTCGGCACACCTCTTGCACGTTCCGCGGTCCCCCAGAGAGCTCCATCGGGGGCTCCCGTGGCAGGGTCCGCATGCGTCCCCCAGCCCATCCCGACGCACCGCTCACACGTTTAGTGGCCCCGTTGGGAGCTCCACCGAGGGTTCCCGTGGCAGGGTCCGCATGCGTCCCCCAACCGACCTCGGCGCACCGCTCACACGTTTAGTGGCCCCAGGAGGAGGTCCAATGAGGGTTCCTGTGGCAGGGTCCGCATGCGTCCCCTGGCCCCCACGTCGATGCACCTCCGACACGCTCCGTGGCTCCGTGGGGAGCTCCACCGGGGGCGCCCGTGGCAGGGTCCGCATGCGTCCACCAGCCCAATGTCGGCGCACCATTCGCACGCTTCGTGGCCCCACAGGGAGCTCCCCAGGCCGCTGGCGCCCCGTTGCGCCGCTTGGGCAGGCAGGCGTCAACGGGGCGCCTGTCGCGGCGTCCAGGTCCAGCCCGTCCTGCTCGCCGTTGGGAGGCCCTTCGTTGGCGGCGTGCGGCGGGAAGAGCCCCTATCCGTTTTCCTGTTCCACCCTCGCGAAGCCCGTCGCTTGCTCGTCGAAGAGCTTCTGGTTCTGGGAGCGCGTCGTTTAGCGTCCTGTCGCCGCGGCAAGAGCAGGCAATGGTGCGGTCTGGCCACGCGTCCGCCACCTCTCCGCACACGGGGCAGAACTCCTGCTGGTCGATGAGCTGGGCTCGGAGTCGTCGCTGGACCGCTGCCCGGAAGACGCCGTGCTGGAAGCGGGCGCCCACGGCGTCGCAGGGCGGC